CTTTCTGACACAGTTTCATCCAGTTGTGCATTAATGCCAGCAGCTATTTCCCACTCCTCCGGCATCTCAACAACACTTGAAAGCCTTGGAGCAAGCTATGTTATATCACACCTAGAATTTACTCTGGGCCAATGTCTTCAATCTGCAAGATGAATTACAGAATTAAGTGAAAGGCATAAATGTCCTTTATGGCACCAACATTTTCCATTACAAGTACTGTTTTTACTCTTTTTTAATTTGGAAGGGGGAAAAGTGCCCTGAAGGGTCTTTGAATTGCCAAACCTTCTAGATCAAAGATTTCTTCAGCTGTCTGAATTATAAGAATATTGGAAAACAAAAACAAAAACCCTTTTCCTGCTATAAAATCCTTGCCATGTTTTGGTCTTTATGTAACTCAAAACGGCTGAACTGAGAAACGAGGTTCAAATTTTGTTCAAAATCTAAAAATTCATCAGAAATGAAGTAAGAGATAATTCCCAAAATGTCATTCTAGCTAATCTGACCCATGGATAATTTTCACTGAATTCTTAGTTGATGATACAGAAAATGGCTGAGTAACACTTGAAAGAGAATGAAGCAGACTGTGGCTGAGGACAACAACGCGTTTAGAATCGTTTGTAACAAGTGATCCTAGACTAAATGGTAATAATTCGGGCTTGGCCATGGTGTCCAGTTAATATTTTCCTGATTCCATTCCCACTCCCAGGACACTCTTGTGTCCTCTGACAAAATAACCAAAGTGTATTTCAAAAGCTTCCGCTGAACATGCTAGCCTGTAAAATGAACAGTTCTCTTCCATAGCCATCGAGTTGGCTGATGTTTTCATCTGATGCCTTCATGGAGAACACATCAGAGGAGAAATAAACTCATTCCTCCCCTCCCTTTGGGGTGTGTGTGTGTACTGAACTCAAGGCCTGAGTACTGTCTTCTGAGCTGTTTGGCTCAAGGCTGGTGCTCTACCACTTGAGCCACAACTTCACTTCTGGCTTTCTGGGGATAAGCGTTTCACAGACTCTTCTGCCATGGCTGGCTTCCAAAGTGATCCTCAGACCTGAGTAGTTAGGATTACGGGCTGAACCACTGACACCCAACAGGCTAAGAACTCTTTGCCAGTGTCATTTGGCACAACAGAAAGATGATGTGATAATCTATTACCTGTGAGCGGTGGTCTCAGAATTTCAGCACTTCCAACACAAACTGCTTTGGCTTTATCGCTGAATGGGGCACTTGCTAAACCCTTGGTAGCACACTTAGTAGAAGGCTGGGCCGGGAGGGAGAGGTGGTGGGGGAGAGTTGCAGCAGCTGCTGTGACCTCTGACCTCAGAGACTAAAGGCACTTTTGCACATATAAAAGGTCAGTTATTCCTAATTCCATTCTAGGTCTTTTTTATTTTATTTTATTTTTTTGGGGGGGTGGTCTGGTCCTGGGGCCTGAACTCTGGGCCTGGTCGCTGTCCCTCAGCTCTTCAGCTCAAGGCTAGCGCTCTACCACTTGAGCCACAGCGCCACTTCCGGCTTTTTTCTTTTTGCTTATGTGGTGCTGAGGAATCGAACCCAGGGCCTCATGCATGCAAGGCAGGCACTCTACCACTGAGCCAACTTCCCAGCCCTAGTTCATTTTTATTTTAAATAAGGTAAGACTGGCTCCAAACTGCTGAGCCACACCTCCAGATGTTGGTGAAACCCTTTTGAGCAATTACCAGGCAGGTGAGGAAGTTGAAGCTTTTTGGAGGGTGGGAGCTGACAGGAGAGGAGAAGCAAAGGGTGAGGGAGAGGAAGGGTGAACATGCACACGTGTGGAAACAGCAAGCCGGAGGAGGAGGGGAGGAAGAAGAGCCATGGGAGGGGTAACTGATCAAGACACCTCATACACACATGGACACACGAAGATAAAACCCCTAGGCCAACTGATTGGTGCTAAGAAAATTCCAAAGAAGATAAAAATAAATTTTCCTTTTACTTAATTGCACCCTAGAGAAAAATTGGAAACCTGCAAAGAAAATAAAGTACAGAAATAAAGAGTAACTCTTTATTTTCACAATATTTATATTCACAATATTCACAGTATTTTCACAATAAAAAAAAGAAAAAAAGAGTAAGAAGTCCCACCCATCAGGAAGAATGACAGAGCATCATTTGCAGGGAAATAGATGGACTGGTAAAAATTCATGCTAAGTAACTCAGGCTCCAAGAGACAAAAGATGCATGATTTTTCTCATGTGTGAAAGTTATATTTGTGATAAATGTATGTGTAAGCATAAACAGAATCGTTTGAATATATACACAAACGTATGAACTAGAATATGGTCCATGCAGGGGAGGATTCCAATAGTATAACTCCTCTGAACAATTAGCGTACAGTCTAACAAAATGACTACCAGGAATCTGGGTCCAAGGGGAAGTGAGGTCAAAGGCGGGACAGACAGTGGAGAGAGGAAGGGTGGTAATATTCAATGAACATATGTGAAAATGGAAGTGGGGAAACTGAGGGATGGGTGAAACAGTGTAAGCAGTGACGTTGATCTGGATTCACTGCGCTCACAAACCGAGGCCTTAAACTGGAAAAATGTGTTTTAAATGTAAAAAAAAAAAAAAATCCCACCCCTTGCATTTACTTTGTGTGAGTCTGATCTCGTTCTGCTACATGCAGAACTTCTGCCCTTTTCCTTAAACATAACCCTCTCTGCATTCGTATCTGCCATACCAGTCTTCAGAGATGTAGGCTTCACTATCATGAGATGTAGGCTTCATAACCATTTGGGGTTCAAGTTTCTGTTAGCAATTCCTTATCCTTGTCTCTATCAGAAAATGTTTTCAGTATCGCTGTATTAGACAAAGACCTTAGGTTGCAAGTCAAGGAAAATCAGTTCGCCCTGGCCTAAGCAAAACCAGAGATGATTGGCTTGTGTCATGGAAAGCTGGGTGTGAATCAACTATCTCTTGGAGCGGCTCCCTTCTGGGTGAGTTCATTCTTAGTCCTCTGGCAGAAAGAGGGCTGACTTTCCTAATAATCTTATAGGAAGTCCCACGACTGAGCGTCATTCACTTCACTGGGGTCAACTATTCAGGCCTAAGCCATCACCAAGGCCCAGGCCCAGGAATGCTCTGTTGGCCCTTCCCCCACTCCAGGCTCTGCACAGGCCTCTCTGCTGCTTCTGGAACCCAGCTCTGTGCTTGTCCCTCCGCCCACTTTCTCTTCTTCCAGTGTCCCCATCGCTAGTGGCTCCCTTTCTCCATCAGTCCCCACACGGGCTGGCCTCAACCACCTTCCCTCTACCCCTCTCCCATTTTACCTCCCAGCTGATTTCCTGCCGCGTATCCATGTGGCATGTTTCTGAATTTCTTGTCAGCTTCATGGAGCCGTGAGGGCTGACGTCAGAGCCCTGACCTGTACTGAGTAAATGCGTGTCATGGGACTTACCGACTCCGGCAGTCCAGGTGTATACCCGTCTATTGTGGTTTGGATCTAAGGTGCCCCCTGCCCACCCCCCAAAAGACTAGTTGCTGGTGGCTCAGACCTGTCATCCTAGCTGCTCAGGAGGCTGAGATCTGAGGATCATGGTTCAAAGCCAGCTCAGGCAGGAAAGTCTGTGAGATTTGTTTCCAATGAACCACCAAAAAAGCTTTCCGCCCTGCAAGCCCTCATCCCTGCCTGGCCTCCTCCCAGCCTTTGCGTGGACAGATCCCTCAAGGCCGCGCTCCTAGCTGGCCTCACGGGGCAGTCCTCACCGCCTCCCCAGGGGCAGAGGTGCTCTTCATTCACGTCTCCCCCGAGGGACCTCCGCTGCCAGGGCTCTGTGTTCACTGCTGTATCCTCAAAGCTCCAACTGGCCCCTGGCATCCACAAGACCCACAATAAACGTGTGTGTGGAGCTGTCACCTTTGCACGACTACTTAATAATAAACATTTAAACATAAAACAGCAAGGGCCGCCATACTGTCCTACAAGAGTGCTAGTGATCCACATGCTCTGCCCCCAACAGCAGTGGTAGGCAGGGCCATTTCCATCTGTTGTGGGGACTGTTTTCTTAGCTGGGTTCTTTTGGTTTCTGTTGGGTGTATGATAAGAGCTACGGGCTGTTTCCTTCCCATCCGGACAGACGAGGCTTATTACTGTAAAGCTCGGATTCTCATCCGGGAGGGCATTACTGTCCTATCTGGCTTAAAAACAACCTGAATCATAATTGTAACCACGCAAGGGACTAACAGATTCCTTCTTCCTTCCCACTGCAACTAGACTCGAGGGAACTTTCTAATAATGTTACTGTTACTGTGAGTGAAACATGTATTTGGGATGTGATGGACATAATTTCTATGACTTTCCATTCCAAATTACCTAGTTGTGTATTTTGATTCATAAAACTCTTTGTAATGTGTTCATCATTACCACTAGAGTGGATACATTTTATACATCTATTACACATAGAAGCTATTTTTAAAGTGCTGGGGCTAGAGCTTGAACTCAGGGCCTGGGCGCTGTCCCTTACCTTTTTCTCCTTTTTCTCTTAAGGCTGGCATCTAACACTTGAAACATACCTGCAGTTCCAGCTTTTTGCTGGTTAATTTAAGAGTCTCTCAGGTCAGTCTGCCCTGGCTAGCTTCAAACCAGGATCTCAGATCTCCTGAGTAGCTAGGATTACATGTGTATATTTACTTTTGTGTATTTACTTTTGAAGTGTATTTGTATATTTACATGTATATTTACTTTTTTGTACTTACTTTTGAAGAACTTTAAATTTTAAAGGAACTCTTGCAAAAAAAAGGAGTGAATGTATATCAAAAGTATTTAATATGGAGAACATAAAGCACCTTCAATCACTCAAAACTCCTTATGATGTGCATCAGTTTGTACCAATCCGATTTCCATCTGCCCAGCAAAAAATGATTGAATTCACTATAATAAACTTCAGGTCTTCATCTTTTCAAACAAATCTTCAGCACCACCCAACATGGAGATACCAATGAGTTTAGGAGAAATTAAATAAATGATTGTGTTCTTTAAAGAGCCAATACAGTCTTTCTAATGTAAACTAGCACCATTAGAGGAAGAGTTTTTTTTTTTTTCAATTCAAAAGACCCTGAACAGGTGATTTATCAAGTCATAGAGAGCAAACACTGAGTGGGTTTTGTGCTGTTGTCTGTGCTGGAACTGCAGCTGGAACTCAGGGCCTGGGTGCTGTCTCAGCTTTACTCAGACTGCCACTCCACCGTGAGCCACAGATCAGGCTTTTTTTTTTTTTTTTCTGATTAATCAGGAGTCTCGTGGGTTTTCCTGGCCCAGATGGCTTCAAATTGCTCTCTTCCTATCTTAGCTTCCAGAGTAGCTAGGATTATAGGCATTAGCACCGGCACCCAATTGAGCGATGAGTTTTTAAAAATTTTTCCTGTGATAAAGAGTGGCAAATTAAAAGAGCATAATAAAGCAAAGCAAAACTTTCAGAAACTGGAGAATCAAGACAGCCACAGGCCAGCAGGCACACACGTATTTCACGTGCACGCTCAGACACACTCACACCTGTGTACACACACACACCCCGGCGAGAGTGTTTTCTTTTCTCCTGGTCATCACCAGTCGGCAACCTCCACCACAAAGGGCGTCTTCACATCTATCTTGCCGCTGCTGACAATCGAGCAGGTGACGAGTGGACGGTCATGCTCGTCAGTTGCTTGAAGTTCTATGGAGTGTACCACGGTCTGGGGAGGCAAGTGCAGACATGGAACTCAGTTTGACTGACAGCTACGGGAGTCCCAAGATGTGACCAACTCAGCTCTGCACTTACAAGTGCGAAATGTTTATCATTACAAACATCATGCAAGTATTTGGGACAAGTGGCCCACTCCTGTAATCCTAGCTACTAAGGAGGCTGAGATCTGGAGGTTTGTGGTTTGAAGCCAGCCTGGGAAGATGAGTCTGAGAGATTCCACCTCCAGTTAACTAGCAAAAGCTGTGCAGGAGGTGTGGCTCAGGTGGCAGAGTGTCATAAGCAAGAAAAGCCAGAGTTTAGTAAGGTTATTGAGATGAATTCCAAGAAATGGAAACAAGCTTTTTTTCTTTGTTGATGTTTTTGTTTTCTGTCTCATTTGTTCAATTACCTGTCTTTGGGAAGATAAGGGGGAACAGAAATGGAGGAACAAAGGATGAACAAACACAACAGTGGTACTCACTAGACACTATGATGAAAATTAACTATAGATGTATGGGAGGGAAAAAACAGGAGCAAGGGAAGGGGTGACATCATCCAACAAGAAATACATCCTGCACCTGACTTGTGTAATATCACCCCTCTGTACCTCACCTTTATAATAACAATAACAAAGAGAGAGTAGCCAGGCACTGACTGCTCACACCGGTCATCCTAGCTACTGAGGAGGCTGAGATCTGAGGATCGTGATACAAAGCCAGTCCAGGCAGGAAAGGCCGTGAGACTCATATCTCCAATACCACCTGAAAACCACAAGTGGCACTGTGGCTCAAGTGGTAGAGCGCTCCCCTTGTGCTGAAGGGCCAGAGTTCAAGCCCCATGACCAACAAGACAGTGAGAGAGAGAGAGAGAGAGAAAGAGATTAAAAAAATAAAGCGTTTAGCAAGGCCCTGCATTTAAGCCCTGATACTAGGAAAAAGAAAATGAAAAAAATAAAATCAAGCTAAGTGTGAAAACTTAAGACTATGGAGGTAGAGAAATGGGGGATGGAAAATGTGTGCTACACATTTACAAGCATATATATGCAATACATGTATGGCAATAATATAGATATAGATCACAATAAAATTTACTCAGCACTTTGTTCATCAGATAATATATTGGTATTATTTTCTCATTTCCTCTTTAGGAAGTACTTGATGGTCTAATAATGTTAGATTCTTTCTAAGTACCTGGCTCTGACAGAAGGCATTTCTACTTACCTGCTACCACTAAACTAAGAGTTAGTGTGGAGTCTAAGCGACCCTTCTGTTCTGGTACTAGTTTGGACATAACAAAATGAACCCAAAGAAGCTAGATGTCCTAGCTAGGGTCCTAGCTCTGGGTTTGCCCATTTCCAGAGTGATCAGAGCCATCGATCTCAGTGTCCAAGCCCGTCTCAGTGGAGCTGGGTTCTGTTCTCTGCCTTGGCTGGCTTCACAGGCCCCCAGACCACCACTAATGGACAAAGGAGATCAGGACCAGGAAGGACGCTCTGCCCGGCGCAGTGGCTCACATGTGTAGTCCAAGCTATTTGGGAGGCTGAGATGGGGAAGATGGCAGTTCCAGGCCAGCCCGAGCGAAAAAGCTGAGTGTGCTGGTGTGTTTATCACTTCACCTACTCAGGGGAAAGGCTGGGACACTACTTAAAGAAAATTACAGCCAAAAGGGCGATGGACACAGATCAAGCGGTGGAATACCGTCCTGGCAGCCGCAAAGCCCCGAGTTCCAACCGCAGTTACTTCCAGTTAAAAAACCTGAGAGAGAGAGGAATACTTTGGATAAGTTTTCTGAACAGTGAGTACACAGCTCATCTCTGGGATGGTGACTGAGTGGAATCAAGGCAACAGGTGGAAGGTGTGAGGAGGATGTTTGGGATCTTCAGGAGGACAAAGCCCGGCTGCACGCACATGGGGACGGTCGGGGGTTATGGGCGGTGTGGGTCATGCCCGGCACTTGGCTGTGAGCTTAGGCGATGGGGAACTATCCTGGAAGGCTGCAGGAGAAATGTAGATGGAGAAGAAAACAGTGTTTTTATTATTCATGTTATTATGTGTGCGTGTGTGCCCTAATTTCTCTAATGCCTTACCATGCACGCTTTACAGAAGATGCCAGCACATTAGAAGGGGTGACCCCTGGGTGCCTGGCTGCAAGCAGCAATTATGAAGCGAATTAGAATCCATGCTGTCATTTCTCAAAGAATAGCAAAGGATCCAATTCAAAGCCTGCTGGGCCAGTTGTCAAAACCATTCTTCTCATGGGTGCCAGTGGCTCATTTTTTATAATCCTTCCTCCTATCGGAAGATGCCGACCTCTGACGATATGCTTTGAGACTGACATGAGTCCCTGCGAGGGCTCACACACGCCAAGTGTGGAAAGAGAGAGGACGGGAGTTACCATGCCATCGAGGACCTTCCCGAACACCACGTGCTTGCCGTCCAGCCAGGTGGGCTTGGTCAGGGTGATGAAGAACTGCGAGCCGTTGGTGTCGGGCCCGGCGTTGGCCATGCTGACCCACCCGATCCCATAATGCTTCAGCTTGAAGTTCTCATCGGGAAACGTCTCACCATAAATGCTCATGCCTGGCAGGACAGAAGAGGAAGGGAGGCAGCAGGAGTCAAACCAAAACTCTTCAAGGAACCCCACGGAGACAGGAGTGGGAAAAGATGGCCAAACCTAAGTAGACGCAAGGCGGGGACAGGCAAACCTCTTAAAGAAACCAGACTTGAAACAAACCACAGACAAAGCCTTCCGTAGAGCACAAGATGGCGTGTCCCCAAAGGCCAAGGGAAACCCAATAGAGTCTCTCTGGCAGGAGGAGGGACGGAGGGGCAGGATAGGATCCCAAAGCCAGGTGCAGTGGGGTGGGCAGCCTGGGTCCAGGTCGCGTGTTCCGGGCCACTCCCGCCTCTGCACCCACCCCAGCACGGAGCTTATTCTTGCAGCGACCCGAGGGGGCAGGCTGCTCTGTCCCAGGCTGCGCTGGGAAAGTCACACAACTTGAAAAAAAAATAGAGCAAGATTTTCACTTAGAACCCATAGTGCGCCATGCCTCAGCCCCAACACCACAGCAGCTGGCCGCAGTCAGGCCCAGGACCTCAGAGTTCCAGGACAGAGAGGGTGACCGCAGTGACGTGCAACCAGGAACCAACTACGAAGAGGAAAAGCTCAGCAAAGCAGAGGCCACAACAGGAGCCATCGCTCTCACAGTGTCTCTCCAGGCTCCCTCCGGTGGGTCACACCTGTGATCCTAACCACTCCAAAGGCTGAGATCTGATCATCACAGGCCGAAGCCAGCCCAAGCAGAACAGCCTGGGAGATTCCATCTCCAGTTAACTGGCAATGCTAGACTGAGGCGTGGCTCAAGTGGTAGAGCACTAGCTGAGCAGACAAGTTTAGTGAAGTGAGAGGCCCCGAGTTCAAGTTCTAGTCCAATAAACAACCACAACCAAAAGCAATAACATCAACAACAACAAAAGGCTAACAATGACAGGAAACTGTGTGTGTGTGTGTGTGTGTGTGTGTATGTGTGTGTGTGTGTTGTGTGCCGGTCCTGGGGCTTGAATTTAGGGTCTGAGCACTATGTCTGAGCTTTTGTGCTCAAGGCTAGCACTCTACCTCTTTGAAACACAGCTCAACTTCCAGCTTTTTGGTAGTTAATCAGAGATGAGTCTCCTGGACTTTCCTGCCCTGGCTGGCTTTGAACCGTGATCCTCAGATCTTAGCCTCCTAGGTAGCTAGGATTACAGGTGTGAGCCTCTGGCACCCTGCAATAACAGGAAACTTCTGAATGAAGGGACGAAAGTGCTATGCTCGTGTGCAACGCCCCTCCTCCGCCCACCCCCCTCACCCACCACTGGCACCCCTCAAGTGCACATGGCCTTGTGTTTTAGCGCCGCCCTCTGTGGCCACCCATTTGTCTACACGGCTACCAACTGGTAGTACTGCATTTGTAATAACTGCAAATGTTCTGCCAAATGAACGCACGTCCACTGTGGAAGACAGTGAGCGCTGACCACTTCCTGGAACCACAAGAGGACCAGGGAGTGTGTGCTCGCGGAGGCTCCCACCCCATCCGTTCCAGAGGCAGAGTTGAGTCTGGGGCCTTGTTCCTTGACGCACCGGGTTACTATGCTGCCTTCATCTCGGGGCCTAACTTAGCAAAGCAAGGCGGAAAGGAGAAAGGAGCAGATAACAGGCAACGTTACCACCGGTGCCGTCTCCAGCGGTGAAGTCACCTCCTTGAATCATGAAGTCTTTGATGACGCGATGGAAGGTACTTCCTTTGTATCCGTACCCTTTCTAAAGAGATGACTTCAATTAAATACGCAAGTAGAAATAACCCCCCACCCCGAGAGGCCCTTGTGCTCCCCTGGACTGATTAACAATGAGATACCCAAATCACTATGGAACTCCATTAGGCTGAGAAAAATTTATCATCAGCTGACAAAAAAACATGGCAAGGCACCAATGGCTCACGCCTGTGATCCTAGCTACTCAGGAGGCTGAGATCTGAGGATCACAGTTCAAAGCCAGCCACGGCAGAAAAGTCCATGAGACTCTTATCTCCAATTAACCATAAGGAAAGCAGAAGTGGAGCTGTGAGTCAAACGTGATAGAGCACTCGCCTTGAGCGGAAGAGCGCAGGGATGGTGCGCAGGCCCTGAGTGCAAGCCACAGCTGGCAAAAGAAAACAAAAGCAACAAAAATGGGGTTGGAGGTGTGGTTAAAGTGGTAGAACACCAGCCTACCAAGCTCAAGACCTTGAATTCAAGTCCCAGTACTACCGAAAGGAAAAAGGAGAAAGAAGATGAGATAAATGCTATGCCCAATTAAAGGAAATAAAACAGGCAGACCTCTCCTGTTGCCAAAGCGACAAAATTTTCCACTGTCTTGGGCACAACTTTTCCAAAGAGGCCAATCACAATTCTGCCCACATCTTTGTCTCCAATCCTCACATCAAAGAAGACCTGTGGGTAAGTGAAATACAAAAAATAAAAGGATTTTACAATATGGCAACTTTCAAGCTAAGTCAACATTACAAATACTTTACAATGGAGTTGTAAAGAGACCTGATATCAGATAAGCTTCCTGCTCTAAATACATTATGTGAGAAATTCACTCAACAAGTACTTACTGGAAACTGCTTTGGGTACTGGAGGTACCTAAGTGCAAGTACTGCACTTGCTACTGAGTTGAAACGTTGATTCAGTACTCTCAGTCAACAAAGTCTTCAAGAACCCAGCTGCTCCCTTGCACCTGAGGCCAACTCTACCGGTGTCCTGACTTCATAGGTGAGGAAAGTAGTAGAAAACATGCTTGTGTGTGCGTGTGTGCGTGTACATGTACTTGTATATGTGTTTGCGTATGTGCATATGCACGTCCATATGCACCCAGGGAAGGCCCCGGGTCCTGGCCTCACCCCGAGAGCAGCAAACCCACTCAGATCCTAAGCTGAACTTAGAACTGGATTCCACCCCCCAGGCCCCACAGTCACCCACGTGAGTTTGTGCTTTCTCTGTCCCATGCTAGAACAAAAGAAAGGACACACATCCAGAAGGGAACATGAGTCATTTTCTTTGCAGATTAAACCTTCAAAGTTCTCTTGGACTTTTTTTTTAACTGGTTCATCTGCAACAAAATTATACACATTTATGCTTCACAAATCACTGTCGGAAGACAATTCTGAGACAGAGGCTTGAAAAGGCCGTGGAGTCAAAGGGCATTCTATTAGCAAGTTTAGATTATAGGAACCAATTTACTGTTTGAATGGGTAAAAAAAGACATTCACAAGATGGCTTTAAAAAATATAAGAAGGGTTGTCAAAGGAAAAAGATGTCTTGCAGTTTAGAAAAATCAGTAAGTAAAGACTGTCAAGCTGAAGTTCAAGACAAGAGCTTCTGCCAATACGTCAGCAGGCCTGTCATGGGTGATGGGGTAGTCAGCGCTCTGTGTGGCATTTACAGTTTCTACATGTCAGGGCGGCACTAGCTTTATTATTATTTATGTAAGAGAGCTTTCCAGAAAGCATCAAGACCCTCCCTCCAGGTTAGGCAGTTCAGAAAAGGAAAGAACTCTGTGTGGCCCAAGGGCAGGAAGTGCCCATCATGGACGACTGAAGCTTGCCAGACCGGGTCAATGCCAGACTGCTTCAACGCAACACAGGCCCCCAGCATGGCAGCCGCAAGAAGATCAGCCATGCAATCTGAGAGAAACGGCCAGCCACCCACCAGAAAGTTCTTGCAGAGCTTTAAACTAGAGGAGAAACTTGTACCTGTGAGGAGTTAGAAAGCAAGAATAAAGCTTAGAGGAGTACAGAAAGAAAAAAAAAAAGAAAGAAAGCTGGTCACCCAGCATTGCTGGACAATCAAAATCCATTTTTTTGCACACAACCTTGTAGTATACTTTCACCCACCCAAAGTGCAATAGCTTTCAACTTTGTGTGTGTGTGTGCACATGTGTATGCTGGTACTGGGACTTGAAGTCAGAGTCTCAGGGAATGGTCCTTTAACAATTTTTGTTCAAGGCTGGCACTCTACCACTTGCCACAGCTCCATTTCTGGCTTTCTTGTGGTTAATTGGATATAAGAATCTCATGGACTTTCCTGCCTGGGCTGGCTTGGAACTATGATTCTCAGATCTCAGCCTCCTGAGTAGGATTACAAGCATGGGCCACCAGTGTCTGGCAGAGATTATTTTTAATGGCCTCATTTTCTCATCTTATTTAGTTGTTCTAAAAAGCAAAGGGATAAATTGAACAGAGTAAGTGGACATGTGTACAAGACTGGCCTATGCCATGAGCTTTCAGGCCTTGATACATTGGGTGGATAAACAGATTAGAGAAATGACATTTCAGAGAGTTTGGCACACATCCCTCAGCGACAGTGCCCTCTGCCCGGGAACAGACTGGCCAGGCCTTTGCCTCTGGGCCCTCTCCCTGCTGGTCCTAGTACCCCTGGCTTCCCACCCCAGAACTCCTAGAAAGTGTTAAAAGCTGGTGAGGGGTGTGTGACCCCAAGCCTTGCCGACAGGCCCTGCTGGGGCTCTGCTGGCGCTTCACAGGCTTCTTGGATGGAATGTCTCCACACTAAGGTCAGTCGTTGTTCATCTTTGAGGTACATGGGAGGCCATGCATCCTGATTTTTTCTCTCTCTCAGCAATCCTACTCCCTTCTCACCATCTCTGCTCTAAACCAACTGTTAATTGGACCTCCAACGTCAATTTCAACGGCCTAAGACAACCGCCCGAATCCAAGTCCACAGGGGCTCGAAGGCCTTCCTGGGACGCTGGGCACTGAATGGCGGCCGTCCTTCCTGGGGCAAACACGAGGCCCCAGGGACGGTTCTACCCGCACCCAGAACGACAGACAGACAGACAGACAGGGTGGTCAGGGACGGTTCTACCCACACCCAGAACGACAGACAGACAGACAGGGTGGTCAGGGACGGCTCTACCCGCACCCAGAAGGACAGACAGACAGACAGACAGGGTGGTCAGGGACGGCTCTACCCGCACCCAGAACGCGGCCTCCCGGGGTCGGGGCGGCCGAG